CACACACACACACACACACACACACACACACACACACACACACACACACACACACACATGCATACACACACACACACTGTCGCACTTTTTCCAGTCAGGCCACTTCAGGCGACCGGAAAGCCAACAGGCCGTCACACAGGATTTTGTATGTTTTTGCAATAAATAAATAAACAAATTTAAATAAAGCAAATCCCTTTCTGTTGTGTGCACCCGGCTTCGAGTGAGACCCTTCAATTACGGTCTTCGCCGGACCCCGGTCTTAGGAGTCTTTAATTGTGATTCGGAACAGCAATGGTGATGCAGATAATAAAATTTAAATTAAATATTCCATGTATGTATCAAGATGCCAATTTAGGAATTTGAGAACTGTGACATAATCAGCAAGGAAATACAATCATCAAGCAATGTCAAAAGAGATAATCAAGATTGACTGGCTCAAGGCAAAGACAAGATGAATGAGGGAGGAATGAGAACTCATAATAGTCTCAGAGAGTATATATGTAGGGAGCATGACCAGCTCCAAACAAGAGTGCTCACTCGTACCTCTGAATCCTCACACTCAATCTCTCATTTTGTTGTTTGTCATTTGGGTTTTTTGCCATATCTCCGTACTCTCTGAGGTTGTGGCCTCTGTATGTAGAGCCACCTGAAGCCTGCAAGCTCTTAGCACTTCTAGCCAAGTCCCAGGATGCGGAAGTCAACCATGGCACAAAACTCCTCCCATAGTGTGGGAATATGGTCGTGAGAAAACCCCTCGTCTGAGATGCTGGAAATTTGATGGTTCAGTCACTGCCTCATAATCGGTCGTTGCAGGTGAAATGTATCTTTTTGCCAGATCCACCAGGTCGCCCCAACAAGAATCGTCCATGAGAATAAAGGGTACCGGGGGCTTGGGATAGTCTAAGTAGAGTTTTGTTCCGAAACTGCGGATCAGCTTAATACCACCTTCATCAAGCTCCTTTTCTCTCTCGCCAAGGTACCTGGCTGCAGCAATCCAGACTGAGTCGAAGTGTTCATGGGTTTCCTTACCTTTCTTCACATAGAGTTTCAGGTCATATACGGTATCGCCTGCAAAGCTGGCAAGGACTGCAAAGATTGACAAGTCTCCTTGCCTTAAGCCAATGGCATTGACATATTGGTATTGGAAAGCATCCTTGGAAGAGATCATGTTGAGACTGATAAGAACAGTTTCCGGAACTGAGAAAGATTGTACCACACTCATGTGTTGAAGTGGGCGTTGAAACTAAAGAGTCTTTTTGATAGAAACTCAATCTGATTAGTGTTGATCCTCGGGCTGGATGGCGATAACCAAGTATCCGTCTCGTTTAGATTAGGATCTGATCGTTGCAAAGATGACAAGTTGTCAGGCGCCGACTGAAATTGGATATTGTTAGACTGCTAACTGAAAACTGATTGAATGTTGATTGAAAATCCTAATTAGATTCTGATTAAATCCGGGGATGTACAGTCACCAAGAGCTGGTCACTTGTAGAGGCTGCAGATTCAATTACCTGCCGACCACTGGCTTGACAGGTTTGCGGAAACAACGAGTCCCTGAATGTTGCGTGAATAACGGTTGAATGCTGATTGAATAACGGTGCACCAGGTTTTGATCAACTTGACACCGATCATTGAGAGACTTATTAATCAGGTAGCGGTGATGTTACGGGTTGTTGAGTGATACTTGCTGACCAGGAAGCAGGTAAGAGCTTTGCGAGGGAAAGTCTAGGCACCTCTATGATCACTCGAGCCCCGCCCTAGCCTGCTCCATTGTTTCTAACAAAGAGCCAACACTGTGTAATTTGCTATTATAATCATAAAAATAAAATGCATATTCAATAAACTTCTTTTCGCCAGCTATCTGGATAGCGTGCTCTCTCTGAACTTGTCGGTGCAATTTCATGTCCAGGTTCGCTTCCTCCTCCCATCCTTCTCTCTTATCCCTACTAAAATTGATCTTCAGCACGAAGACTTCGTCCTCCCTCATGATTCCTTCAGATTCCTAGTGGTACAGACAACAAATGGAGCGAACTGCAGACAAACCTAGCGAGCCTCACACTCAGTGCTAACAACTGCTCCCTAGCCCTGGGTTCACGGAAGCCAGTTTTTACGCCTAGCAATTGTCGAGCGTTCCCATTACCGATTATGTATCGCTGTTACTCAGACAGATATAAACTATTGCCCACCGATTAGTGATCGACAAGGAGTGAAGGGGATGTTGAGTTCTCGCGCGAGTTTCCCCGCAGTGTCACTCAATAGGACACTGAGTACAGAGGTCTTTTCAAGCAGAGAAGTGTGCTCAACGACTTTTATTTAATCAAAAGACTCAGTCCTTATGACTCCCTTATACAGCCCATGCGGCACTTCATAAACCACCGACACCTGTCTGGATTGGTTTTCGGGACTCTGCCCTGGTGGAGTTTGCAAAACTCTCATGCATCGCAGTTTTGTCAGCAAGTTGGGCAACCTCACTCAATCCACCCTGGGCACGAAGACCTTGAGAGTAAGTACTCAGATTATGGACCTTTTGTTTGGATGCACGGGGCATCACCCGAGGCGAACTCTCACTTGCACGTCGCACGAGGTACCACTGAAGCATCCCACACTGAATTGATTAAGATTAAAGTAGAGCCCCCTCGATGTGCTCTGGGGGACGAGGAGTGTTTTCTTAGTATCTGAGACTTTGCTTAACCCCCGAACACAGCTTTGGGCAGCTTTTCGTCAAATTATGACTTTGAGTGTTGATTACAACAGTCTCGGTCCAAACATAGTGCAGAGACAATGCCTTAAACGGGTCCCTTCTATGTACAGTATTAAAGCACAGAAGCAATTTTGTCACTCCACAATGTAACACAGGTCATATTACGAGGCCCATTTGCAATAACAAGACATGGTGCAGAAGGTAATGTCTAATCCCCATCCATTACGAACTTAGCCAACAGATAAACGACTTTTCTCTGAATGCGTCGCTTCTTGCCCATCAGGTAGCACATCCGAGTTGCAAATTCTAGCTAAACCTCTCTCGAGTGTAGTAGGCACTGGTGAGCGACAGGAAAAATAGATCATCTCTCTTTGAGCTTTGCAACCTTAATCTACGTCACATTTTTCTTCAAGTGGTTGAACCCGTGAATCGATTTTCTGAGAAAAATACACCCAACTCAGGTCTTCGCCTGAGCCGAGTTATAGGTTCCATAAGTAAAGAAACTGAATAATGAATGGTAGGAATGATGGGGGAAGGTAGATTTTCCTTATCTAGCTGATTCGGTCACAACGCATCTCTCATTTGATTCGCTGTCGGTAGACCCTCACGACTTTAGTAAGCGAAGCGAACCCATACAGTGATCATGGTTGCCTTTTCGAAACATGTAACATCCACCTGGCCAAACATACTCACATGCCAGCACTGACGGAAACCCTCATGTCCTTCACCTTATTTCAAAATAGACTCCAACTAGTCTTTAAACTATTGATAATCAGGTTAACAAAGGAGATAGAACCAACAGCGTACGGGTCAACACACTATCAGATCGTTTTCGAAATTTACTTTTATCGTTCGACAAACGATACCAGCCGTCCCTTCTGGCTCTAACTAGCTCCTGATTTGCAGGATTATCCTTCCCCCTCCCCAGTCTAAATTACTGATATCTCGGCCCCAGTGGTAGACGGGTTAGAGGCTAGAAGTAAATCGAAAGAGTGGTCTGGCCGAGGGTAGTAGTGACCTTTTCACACCCGTCCGCCTTGCGTAGAAGATTACGGGTAATGTCATCTAAACAGCTAGCGGTCCACTACGCGTCTAACTGATCCACTACCCGACGTGTACATAATACTAGTTAGACCGCCAAGAATGTCCAACGTGGTGAACGAGCTCTGACTCATGAAGAAGCTCGCATAGGGAGAGTCAAGGATCACAAGCAAGAGGCGGATGGCACTATCCAGATCAGAAGCTGGTTCACTCCACTCTCCTCCTTTGCACTCGTGGTGGCATGCACGTGTCCCTCCTCAATAGTGATTAGTTAAACTACGATAAGCTTACTAAGACACTTGATGGTCAGCATGGTATCGTCGACTCTAGTACAAACTTGTTGGTGGCTGATAATGGTCGCTGAACCTTCGTGTCTCATTTTCTCAGGGACGTCACTGACCATGTTCAGTATATTGTTTCGTGCGCTTGCTGCTAGTTCCCACCTTGATCAAAGAAGATTACCGCTTGATACAACCCATAATCTTGCGGGGCCCTTCAGTATGCGCTTCACCGTCGAGTCGGCTTTTTCTTATGCACTCTGTTGATATGCATGCACTGGAGCACTCCCTGACAGAAGTCGGCGGATA